CTTTTCATTTCGACTTTGACCTCCAAAGTCGAAACATTTCGACTTTTGGGTTTTCATTTCGACTTCATGTATAGTAATAATACTGGCTAACTTCAATTTCTATCTTTGAACTTCTGGCCTCTAATCATATAGCCCCACCTCAGAAATATCCGGAAATGATAAAAAATAGTTTCAGTTAGGAGAATACTCAGTATTACTTTTTTCTTTTGACTTAGTGCTCCACAAATTCCATATTTTTTTTAACTACAAACCATATAATTGCAATCAGAAATAAGATAAATATGGAATATGCTAATATCAGCGATATTAAGGAATTTGCAATAACAGGGATAGCTGATGCTAGAGGTATTACTTGGATTAATGATATTATTTCTGCACCACCTAATTACTTCGCAACCCCTTCTCTCGAAATAAACTTTTTGGGATGTACTGATCAACTATGAATGGATTGATTGAATAGAGTATCTGTCTAGCTTCTCGAAACTATCTCATCCTAGGGTAATAACTCTTGCAAAGCCTTTAATATATTTTCTCTAACAAAACTTTTATTGAGTTCTAAAACTTTATCTTCAAAACGATGCTCATAGATAAGAGGTCTTAAATCATCACTAATCCAACCCTTTTACAATGAATCATTCATAGGCAAAAGCAGAAAATTAAAAAGATCTACTATTTCATTATCTTTCTTTGAGATTATCTCAAAAGTGTGAATTTTCTTTCATTAATTTTAATTTCTCTGAAGACTGAATATCTATTTCCCATTTAAATATGCTATCTGATGACTCTATCCCTTTTTTTATACATTCTATCACATAATCTTTTGAGGATAAATCATCCTTTACCTGTTTCAATTCAAACCTGAGAGAATCGTTCTCTTTAGGATCAAATGAGTTTATTTGGGCTGGATTCTCTAGTAGTCCTCCCATTATATGCGAATCATATTCTAGTTTCAGATCTAGTAACTTACTTTCCAATTCAACTACCTTAGCTTCAAGAGAAAGTATTTTGACCTTGTTAGCAGACGAAGCTTTCTGTGTCAAAGTTGCCTCTCTCTTTAGTGTTTTAATATTGAATTTGAGCGATTTGATTTTAGCAGAATATTTGGCTTCAAGCTCAGTATAAGACATTCATTCATAAGTAATTTAGGATGTAAGCTTAGTATTTACACCATTTAGCTGGCTAACCTTATTTCTGATATTAGCATGAATTTGCTTAAACTCCTTTTCTCGCCCTGAATACTTATCTACCAACTTTTTGCTAAGATCACTGATGTTTGCTTTAGATTTAAAAGCAGAATATAATTTTTCTTCGAGCTCTTGCTCATATGCATTATCAAACTGACAAACATTATTATTGATATCTCTCAAGGTATATACATTAGTCATAGCTTTTTTTTTCAGCTTAATTGCTAGTATATTAAAAAATATGTAATTAAAAAATCAGCTAGTATAACCTAATTAACATTTATATAGAAATTGATTATAAGTATTACAAATAAAAAGATTATGCCTAGATATTTAAGGTCTGATGCATCTTCTCTTTCATCTGAAAAAATCTGTGAAATTATAGATAGTAGTGATACAAGAGGTATATTATCAGTTTTAACTAAAAAATACAAGATATCAAAAATACGTATTTATAGAATCTGACGAGGGCAAGAGTATCCTACTGATCTTTCACTAAAGAATATTCAGTCTAGTGGTCAAAATATTAATTAGGATAAAGAAATTGAGAGCATATATAACTTATATGCTGGATTACCTTACTGATATTTTTCGAAAAATTTCATATATCAATATTTTTTAAAAATATTTAATAAGGTCCGGTCTTTTTTAGAAATTATTAAAGAAATTCAATAATGATTAATAAATATTAATTATAATGTTTGGATAATGATTGATAAATTTCAGTCTATACTAATTATTTTTTATTTAATAATTACTGATAAATGAATTATTTATCTAAGGAATATTATCATGCAATGTCACCTATTTATCACTTGAAGTTCTTGAGGAAATTCGTAATTCCTGTGGAAAAATTAAAAATGCTATAACAGTTATGGCAAAAAAAATATTATATTTCTACTTGACGAATTTATGAAATTTAGCGTAAATATGCAATAGGGCAATTTGATTATTTCTAATAATGTGAGTCAGAAAACCAGAGTCTAAGCAATCCTAATATTACTCTTCCACCTCAGGATAATATATTAAAAGAGATTTCAGTAGAATACAATATTATTTCTGAAAGTCAGGCAAAAAAGATCAGAGGAAAGAAAACTAAGCCTAAATTTATTCGCATTTCTGAATCGTCTGTTATTCAGATTAAGCTGACCTCAGAAAACTCTGAAGACTTAAAAGGTGAAAATTAAATGCATTTTATAAGAATGAGGCTAAGAGTGATGAAAAAATAAAGCAGATATATCTTACTTTTTAGCTATTACCTAATTATTTTTATTGTTTGCTGGAGTAAACCATCTGTAATATTTTGTATAAATCATTGAGTTCTGCTTTAGACTTGAGGGCGGTATATAAGTTTTTTTGAGCTCCTTATAACTCACTTTTTTAATGCACTATCCTCATTTAAGTCTTGCAAATCTTGCAAAATTCTATCTGGAATTGAAGAAGTATCGCATTCAGAAGTAGTAGTCACGCAGTTTACCTCAAGCTTATTCTTAACCTTATGCATATTAATTGATATAAAAAATTCCTTACCATTACACTCTAGTCTCAATTTCTGTTTTGATGCAAGAAAATCATAATTATATTTATCAAGAAGTGTGTTTAGCAAAATAAGTATTAGCTTAAGATATTTGACTATTATAAAATCAGCATATATAGTACATCCAAAAGTGAAATTTATTGTGACATTTTAACAATTCCAAAGGATTCTATGGGAGTAGTAATAATACCTCTAAGATCATGTCTTACTTTTGTATCAATTTCTAGCTTTAATCATTTAGGGATATCCTGAGACATAATTGGAAAATTAGCATAAGGATCGACTGTGTCCACTGGAACCATTAGATGCTTAATTTTACATTTAATAGTAACAAAATCTGTGGTGAGTTCTTTTCTTTGAATAAAGTCTATCTCCATAGATTCATCCAAAAATTCTTCCTCCTCTAAGTCTGATAAAATGTCTTTGGTAATTGAAGCCTTATTACTCTGAAACTCTATCCTCTCTTGAATAAAAGCAACTTATTTTGGTGTATCAGCTTTATTGAAATTGGAAACAGAGTCTTGAGAAATCAATGCAGGAAAAATTAATTAAGTTCACTTTAAAGAATTTTATGAATAGCTTCTTTCAAAGTGCTTGATCTATTTATTGGCTTCTCAGAATCTACTTTACCAACCTATTCAACAGATTTAGCCAAAGATGTTATACTATTAGACTTGTTTTTTTTCTTAAAGCATTTCTTAGACAGTGATTTCTTGAAATTAGATTTCTTAAAGCTAGACTTCCACTTTACTTTTTTTTTATCTTAACTATATTAACATTAAGCTCACCTTCAGAATCAGAAAAATCAGAAGAACTTGAATCAGAATCAGAACTATCATTAGATGAGGTATCAAAAGAAGAATCTAAATTCGAATCTAAGACCAGATTTAAAGTAATGAGATTAATCTTACCTTTTTTAGACTTCTTGTTTTTCTTTTTCTTCTTCTGAGAGCATTTGTGAGAATTATACCCAGCCTTATCACAGATAGAACATTTATGTTGTGTTTTTACAGTTTTTTTAACGGCTTTAGCCTTATGTAACTTTAACTACCTTTTTGTGAGTTCAGAAAGTTTATCATCAGAATTAACCTCTACCTTTTTATTTAGCTTTAGTGGTAAAGTAGGATTAGGAACAGGAATAAATTCTGGGTTTCTCTTATAATTCATAATAAAAATCTGCCTATATTCTCATCTCATAAATTTTATGCGTTTTTGCAGATTGTGATTGGAATTGCGATGAAGTCACTTGTTGAGACTGTTGAGGTTGTTAAGGTTCTGAAAATGCCATTGTATTTTTTACCAAGCTCTTGATTTCATTTTTAATTATCCCTGATTTGTTAGTATCTATATATGGATTGGCCACTGGAAAAATTGGAAAAGAAGACAATACATTCTTTTGAAATAATGTAAATTTTTCTGCTTCAGCTAGAGCTTGTATAACATTATTCTGTGTATCATAAAATTTGGCCATCATTCAAAGATTATATTGATTCATCGGAGACAGACCACAAATAAATTGCTCTCTTTGTTATTTAGAAGTCATTTTAGCTAGTTTACCAATCTTTTTAATTCTAGTAGAAAATTGCTCAACTAACATATTACTCTGCATGAGTTGACCAAAAACTGCCGTTTGTTTTAAGTGTTTAACTGTTGTATAAGCAGTTCTAAACAGGTATAAAAGTTGACCAAGATTAATACCAGTAGCAATAGTAACAGCAAGAAGACCACCTCTAGCATTAGGCGCTACTAGTGCATTATCTACAGGTTCGCTACTAGCTATAGACCAGTCTTCATCCTATGTTCCATCCAGAATAATATTAGCACCTGTTGTGACTCCTGCTCCAATTCTACCAATTTTGACAGCCGTCTTATCTTGGAATTCTTCAGCAGTATTCAAACTACTAATTTGATTACCACCATTTTTAGTACTTATAGCTTGAACAGCAGTTAAAGTAAGTACTCCTAAGTTGTCTGAGAGATTATTGCATCTCCAATTTTTACCTTTGATATAAGTTAAATAAAAATTCAATGCATCACCTGCAAGGCATAATACTACTAATCCAAATGCCTTTTCTCTTCTGAGAGCCTGATCTGCATCAGGCGCAACATTTATTTGACTAGCTATTACATATCTCTAAACCAATCTTCTGGATCCTCTCCAGGATAACTATAAAATATTGGGATCTGTATTCTACTATTCCTGATATATTTAGTGGATTATTCTGTAATGCTAAAATTTCTCCCTGTAAATTAAATATTATTTGACGTTCTTGATGTGTCTTGTTTTTTCATTTCTCATATTTATCAGAATAGAATATTTTATTAGATATAGTTTCACGCAAAAAAAGTTTATGTGCAAAAAATACCCATTAGGCCATATTAATAAAATAGTTTATTTTATTAATAAATTCATATGCTAGTTTCATGATACATCTAGCAGATCGGCTAAAAACATTAGCTCTGATCAAGAATTTCATGTGATATCATGACCATTGGTCAGCAACCATCGCTCCACTGATCCTACATGAATAAATATATATTTCGTTAGAAGCACTAAGACAAATATACTTTATTTAATAATAGTATATAACACAACATGCAAAAAAATGATCAAGTATTTTTTTCCTGATCTCAGTTCAGGAAGTTTTGCCAAGAAAATTTTCTTATCAGATATATGTCATATACAAAAAAAGCATAAATATCTATTTGTAAAATTGACTGCCAGAATTACTTTATTGATACAGTGATACAAATAATAATTAGATTATTTTTTTTTCAAATTTTATAGACTTTCTTTTTTTCATTTTTGGTGGTGTGATGATGGATGATCTTGGTGGAGAAGAAACTGTGGGGCTATTTTCTGTATTACTACATGAACTAGTTAGAAGCACATAATACAGAAGAGATATATTGACGTGCAAGATATTTTATAATTATAGTATATGTTTAGTGAAATATTTTTTAGAGTTGATATATAAAATAATTGGAAAGCTTTTCTCCTGAAGATCTTTGATCAAAAGAGGGAATAGATTATTTTCTGCAGGTCTATGACCGAAGGAAAGGTGAGTGAAATATAAGAATTGCATTTTATATATCTGAATTGTCAATAAAGTTTTAACAAATTCAAACACCATATTCCTATCTGTTGGCTGTATTAGAATTTCAACTGTATGCAAATTATAAAAACGATGTATCTTATTCATATCTCGAATAAGAATATTTAGATGCATCTCAGTTCTGGCAATTTGGATCCTAATAATACCAAAATCATCTTTGTCTGGTTTACATCCTTTGTGAGTCCAATACATTCTATCGTTCATCTCCCTCCAAGTTTTTATCTTTTCATTTCCTTTTTTTATTCATCACAAATGATACGAGAACTTTCACCATAAATTAATTCATATGACCTATTATTACAACTAGCAATAAACATAATATCTGATCATTTTTCAACTTCTCTTCGATCTTTGCTGACTATACTTTAACACTTGGCTATGAAAATATAACTAGATTTTCCAATTAAAAGATCTTTTAATGATGCTCGAATCATTGGAACTATTACATCAGTCATATATGTTTCTTCTAAAAATGCTAGCCAAAACTCCCTCAAAATAATTTCATCATATCTCTTACTATATTTTTAATATAGTTTCAGCTAATTTCAGATTTCAGGGTTTCATTGTACTTCTCACTATGTTTTAATATAATTTCAGCTGTTTATTAATTGCCATTTTTGAGTTTCATCTCTCATCTTTAGTCTCTTCACTTTGTGACTTAACTAGCTTTAGACTGAAGGCAGGATTTTTCCAAATATCTCTTCTAATAAAGAATAGTGTTAAACAAAAATTTTTAAAAATACCAAATATGATTATGTTAAGTCTCTTATTACTGAAATACTCACAAGATTTAAGTATACTTAACGTAACTTTTGCTAGTTTTTCATTAGATTTTTTCCAACTTTT